AGGAAAACTACTTGTTACTCAAGGGTTAACATTCTCTGTTGCCTTATTGCTTATAACATAGAGAAGTTTATAAATCTTTATAAGAGCCTCAGTCGTGACCAATGATAGTCAGTTGAAATTGACGCATCATTCTTTTTGGAATTGCAGGTTTAGAACAATTTCAATTGTTTTTATTTCAAAAAGACTACAAAATTGAAAAGCTATTGAAGATGATGATAAGATAAAACTTTGAAGATAAGTCTTTATATTTTAACACTGTACTCTTTTACATGCCCGCCATCTCTTTGTTTTCACTTGGCTAAAATCTTCTTGAATTCAATGTTTTAACTCCATAATTGTGGGTGGTAATGGACAACTTCTTTGCTCCATTGTAATAAAATAATATTACAAAATATCAAATAGATGTACTAGACTTCATGGAATCAAATCAAACATGGTGCTAAGTCAACCGATTCAGATACACTAAGTATTTATTAAATAAAAGCTTTATTCTATGCTTATAATCAACTATTTTTAAACTTCCACCGCAATTTATTGAAAAAATTTCTTTTCCTGATCATCATTTATAAACATCATTTAATCCACGCAATTTTTTTTTGTTTCCTTAACCATCTTATTTTTTTTTTGTTGAAAACAAATTAGGTTCAAATGATCATCTAAAATTTCTACAAAACCATTTCTTGCCCCTAAGGATTTTTCTAAACGTTTTTTCAGCTGCCTTTTCAGAGAGAACGCAAAGCCAAATAATACCCTTAAAAGCATTTATACGCTTTAAATTATCTCGACGACGTCTCCGATATGGATTGATTGACGTGAACACAAAGGTAGATAACTAAACAACAATTCCCATTCAGAGCTTCTTCCTTACGCTTTAAAAACTGTGTCTCAAGACTGAACTAAATGACTTGCACTCAACTCCTTGATGGATGGCAAAAATCCCTTCCAGCAAAAGAAAAGGGAAATTTCCATCTAAAAACACTTATCGAAATCGTTGCCCGCAACGCTTTTGATGGAAAAGACGTAGCAAACTCTGTGGAAGAGATGTGGAACGTATGTATGACGGTGAGGGAAAAACCATTTCACGGAAGGGAAATTGACGTGTAGAGACGGAGATAAATGGTGATGAGAATTTCGGAAAAGGAAACTTAATGACGATTATTACAAGCCTTTTCCCGTTTTTGGTGATAAGTCTTAGGTTTTTCAGTCTATGTGAAAAAGAAAGCGACGCTGGAAAGTTTTATACGTAATGGGTTTAGTATTATGTAGTATACCTATTATGCAAAAGCGGAAACCCTATGAATCTCACGAAGAAAAAGTATTTTTGCATGCATTAATTTTAATATAAAAACAGAAAAAGTACGAGACAATTCAATCGGCTCCTTCTATCAGAGTATGCAAACATTACATTTAACGTTTCACCACTTTCTAGTTACCAGAGTAAAACACAAGAGGATTTTCTAGTCTGTTTTTTTAATACATCTAAAAATATTCTTATTTTAAGTGAAGAAACAAAAAACCTTTTAATTTTAGCCGAACAATTTTATAACCGTCGTTGCATAGCGGATCCAATTTTGGGTGTATGACTAGCAATGTTCAACTCCGTAGCCTTGTAATTTTGAACACAGTTCAGAAGGAAAGGGAAGTCCTTGAGAAATTTGCCTTCATGGAGGATTTTTTGATGGAACTAACTCGCATTTGCGTTACACGGAGAAGAAAACCACGAAGACCTTCAACGGTTAGCCTGACGGCACGAGAACTGCGACCCATGATCAGTCAACCATTGAGGATATTTTACGTTGACACGGTGGTCCGTGCTAGCCTGATGTCGAATTCGCATCGATTTGGTATCGCTGGGATTCAAACCCGGTTTACTTCATTGGAAGGCGAATGTTCTATCCCTTGAGCCACCTCGACTCTAGTCGAACAATTTTATTTCAATTTCATTTTTATGACCGTAGTTGAACAGTCGACCCAATTCTAGGTTTACGACTATTAATGTTCAACTCCGTAGCCTTGTAATTTCGCCAAAGAAAGTTGTATGTATGTCGTAATCGTATGTTGTAGTCGCATGTCGTATTTGGCAGTGATATACACATTTAGTTTTATTATATAATGCATAATCATCTGATCATGCGAAATTAGAAATACGGAAGAGAATCAAGGAAAGAGAATTTAAGAGAATCAAAAATTAATTTTGTCAAATATTTATCTTAGAAACATTATAACCTTGCTCTTTCTAATTAATTTCGAATGATTTTGAAACATTATTTCTAATTTATGTAATATTAGACAAGAGCATGAAGCATTCTCATAAATGATAAATATTAATTTCAAAGATTGGACCTGGAAGATGCTCTTTTGCGATTAAGTAAAATATTAAATAAAAAGAATTAATATTTAGTATTCAGGAGATTAACTCGATAATTTTAAAACAGTTAAATTTTGAAAAGTTATAGTTTTACATGTGAAAATATAAATATTCGCAGAAATTTAAAATGGCAATTCACAAAATGTAAAAATTTTTCAAAACCATAAATTGTATGAGATTCCAAGTAAACAAGTACTATTGCAATTGTATTTAACAAATTATTTCCCAATTAAAAAGCAAATAATAACTAATAAAGAAATGTAACACTTTCTTCTGAATGTTGCAAAAACTACAAATCGGTCTTAAATATAGCAACGGCTAAATTTTCATCTCATATCTTGAAAATTGCTGATATTAATAAAATAGGAAATAAAAAATATCAATAAATAATTTTTCAATAAATATCAATAAATAATATAAAAAATTTGGCAAATATTTGACAAAAATGATTTTTTTTTAAAAATAATCCCTGAAAAAAAACTGTGTTTACTAATGGGTTAAATACAACTCTTTGTAAAAAAGTAAACCTGTCATCAAAAATAATGAAAAAATCAATTATATTTTACAATCAACAGAATCATTAAATTTAAAAATTCATATTAAACAATGTAAATACTTAATAAATTGATAAAGAAAAAAAATCTGCAAATGGTAAAAACTTGTTTGAATAATCTTTTCAGAAATACAATTGTAAAATAATCACAGTGCGGAAATTTCTGAAATAATATTTCCAGAGATAGGAAATAAAATTCTAAAAAATAGTTCTCATATAACCATAATAATGAAAGAAGTAAAAATATTTTACGCGCATTTCTCTGCATACAATTAAGAAAATAATGCAATTCTTTTTGTAAAATCCCATTTACATAATACGCACAAGCGGAACATTTTTTAACGACATAAGGAATTTAAAACATGCTATATTACTTTTTAATGGAACTAAAACTCATTTTTAGAGATAAGTAAGACTTAAAAATCATGAAAAATAATTACTTTCTTCTCTTAAACATGTCATTTTGATTCATCGCTGCAATAGTAATTATTTTTTATACCAGCGAGTGTTACTAATTTAAGATCTTTAAACAAAGAAGAACAATAAAATACTAAACGAAATTTGAAAAAATTAAAGCAATTTGCGAAAACTGTAATTTCCATTTTTGCTTTGAAAAGGAAAAGGAATTAGAATTTTTTTAAAAGGAATTACAAGTAATATTATTAACAAAAAAGAAACTTACTATAGATATATTTATTTTTTGAAAAAAAATTTCCTCTTTTACGGTCATAACGAAAGATAAATCTTAAACGTAAATATTTAGAAAGTTTTTCTGTTTAATAAGCATTTTACACAACAAGAGATGGCATTATTGAAACTACAAATTTACAATGGACCAAAAACAATGGAACAAAAAGCGAACACCCTAATAACTTTTGATATAATGATCGGGTTTTTACGTGCTAGGACACAATATGAATTGGTTCATTGTTTACCCTTGAAGTAACTTGAAATTAAGTAATTAGTTACAGAAAAGAAATTAGAAGTTTTTTAAAAAGAAATTACAGATTTTACAACTAAAAAAGTACTTGCAATAGTTATTCTTTTTTTTTATGAAAAAAATGACCACTTTTATGCTCAAGATGGATGCTAAACATTATATGTAAATATCTAAAGAGTTAATCGGTTTAAGATGCATTTAACATAACAATAGATGGCATTATTGAAACTACGAATTTACAATAAATAAAAAAAGTGAACACCTAATTACTTTTGACCTAATGATCGAATAGTATTAGGACACAACCTTAACCTTACCTTAAATATGATAACCAATTAGTACAGACGATATTTTAAGTTAAAAAATCAGTCACAAAAACGTACTCTCTCTTTGAATAAACAAACATGAAAAAGGCACATTTTTAAGCAGATTTGGATTTTTGACCCTTCAAATATAGAAAGTATAGCAATTTCGAAATTATGGTACAAATAGTTTGATAGCGTTCAATCTTAACAAAAAATAATGAAAAAAAAACCCGTCTAAAAGCACAATTAGCACAATTAAAACTGGTTTTCTAACTGCGTGCATTTTTTTGAAACTTTCTAAATAATTTGATACATATGATAAAGTACCCAAAAATAAAATTAATGTTAAGAGATCCAAACTTTTGACCACTTTTCTGACTAAAATTGTGATCATGTTTTGCAGGTCACGAATCTGAATCAGAATTAAAAACATATGTTTATTGAAAGTAAGTACATTTCTGTATCTGTTTTTGAAGCTAGATAAATCGCCTGATCCATTGAAAGTCTATTTTTCGAATTATTGATAATGAATGCTAGAATTTGATTATCTGATCATTAAATAAAAAGTTGCTGAACTGTTCAGTCTTTAGTTTTGCCTAGTGAAATCTACTAAAAACAGACAACATAGTATTCTTGATTGAACTACTTCTGCATTTTCATTAATATAATTAACTATACTTGAACAATATTATTTTCTCAGAATTGATGTAATATTTTTGCACACTAAATTAACAAATAACTTAAAATTCTATATCTCAATCATAAATGTTATAGCTGAAATAATATAATATGTAAGAATGAAAAAAATTTATGAAAGAAAATTGCTTTGTTTACCTTTTTCCGGCAACTAAAGAAATTTGGTGAAACGATCAAAGAGCACAATTAATAAATCTCCATAGAAGCTGACGAGATACTATATGGCGAATCACTGTAAAAATGAAAATGATGAAAGAACGATTGCGTTTCTATAAACAATATAGAACACTATGAGGAAAAAACAAGATTCAATAAATATGCATAAAAAATGTGAGAAAAATAAAATTTAGTTTTACTATTTGAGTCTTAATATAAATGGTTTTAAGTTTTTTAAAATATTTACAGCAATTAAAAAAATAATCAAAATCCTTTTTTAAATAATACTAACCTTCCTAGGTCATTAGATCATAAAATAATTTAATACAGCCAGCATTTTGATATAAGAAAAAGAATATTGAATGGGGAGATCTTCAAAGATTACAAATAATTCTATTAAAAACCTGGTCGCGTTTCGGTGAGGCAAGTTCCGCATATATCAGCAATAAACAACTTTTGCCTCCTTTTCCGCTGTTGAAGGTGCACTTTGGTGCAATGAAACGCATGTAGACTTTTAATAAAAAAAAATTTTGATGTTAACGTTTTTCTCATTCAACATTCGGTTTTCTAATCTAAATACAAAGGGTTATTTTGTAAATTTTTTCATTGATGTTATAGTAGAATTGATAAATCAACAAACTTGTTTTTTAGTTTTAATAAACTACTTGGTCGCTTTAAATATTGATGACAAACAAATTGATGACTTATTGTTACAACTAAACTATAAACTATTTCATTGAAAATTACTCAAATATTTTATTGCATTAATGCAGTATTCTTTTGACAGATTTAGTTTCTAACTTTATTGGGATAAAATTTAAATGCTACTCTTTTTGTTTTGTTTTTTTCAAAACTATTAGTTAACTTTAGATTACTATATAAACTATATTTGTTTGCTACAGAGAAAAGAAATTCTGGTAAAATTACTATACTATATGATATTGCCATTTCTGGCAAACAAAACTCGTTAATTCTGGTTAATAAAACCAAAATATTCGGATTTTTAAACATTCATTTGGTAATTCAGTTTATCAGAAATTTTGTCTTTTAAAATTATAGTTACGAAGCATTTATTAACAAATGCAAAATTGAAAAGTAAATGCAATCGAGTACATGGTTTTTATGCATGTTTCTAAAGTATTATAATAAAATTTTACAAATTTTGCGACATCTACAGAATTTTATTGCATATTACAAAGCAACATTTTATCGTTAGTTTACCAGGATCATTATCAATTATTTGGTGTTCCCGTTGAGCCATTATAATAATTTAACTTGGCATTAAGTAAATATATAAAATGACAAAATGTAATAAAATCTATTTTATTGAAATAAATGTGGTAGTTAATGACATAATATGCTATCGCTTAGGAGATTATTTCCAAATTTTAGTGCGTATAAAAATTAAGTACGCCATTAGTACGCCATTACAATAATTTAGTACTCCAAATTTCAGTACGCATATTATAAAACCATATTTTATTGCTCATTTTACCAATAGTGTTCACATAGAGCTAGAGATACTGTAAATTATAAGTATTCTGGTAGATTTTGCAATATATTTTTTCTCAGTGTACATAAACTTGAAAATTATTTAATTCCCCAATGAGATTATATGCTAAAACAGTATAGAAAATTCTTATTAACATTTTTGTATTATATTTTCAATGAGTTTTGTATTATATTTTCGTGTTAATTGTACACAGCTTTACACAAAATTCACAATAAAAGTAAATATAACTTAGTTACTGTTTAATAATTGAAAAATGGTTGATAATTTATCATAAATTATATTTTCATATGTTACATAGTAAGGTAGTATCAGAGGATCAATTTACAATTAAGAAATACTGTTTTCAGTTTTAGGCCTTTAATTTGAAATAACTACCTAAATCAAAAACGTGATAATGGCAGAGAATATTTTACCCGTAAAAAATCTCTTGGGAATCCTTATTAAGTTTATGCTGGTGACTACCAAAACAATCTGGATAATCGTGATGTAAGAATATGCTGAAAACAATTCAAAATAGTCTTATGCTATTACGTTTTCAAGTTATATGAAGAAATGTCATAGTAACTGAAATTAATTTAATATTAAGTGAATATTAATATTAATTGAATATTAAGTAATATTAGTAATTACAGTTATCATATTTAGCACAATCTACCATTCAATAAAATTTAAAACAATACTTACTTAAGAAATAATATGTCTGATATGAAAAAAAAAATTGAAATACATATTCAGTAAATTTTAATAGGAAAAAGAGGAAGGAAGATTGAAGTATGAAATCATTTAGTGCGGATATATGATTTCATGGATACATTTTCTAATGTAACAAGATGGAAAATTAGAACATATTAAAGGAAGATTATCTGACGTTTTTTATAGTTCCAAAGGGATGTGAAAGAACATTGAACTCAACAGCATTTCAAGGTTGATGTAAAAGACGATTAAATTTCCCTTTATTTATTAACTTGCGTTTTGAAAAGGGCCGATTAATAAACATCAAAAATTAATCATTTTTTAATATAATTTCACTTCAGAAGAAATTGCCTCCCTTAAAAAATTATGCCAATAGATATGTCATCAGCTTTCACATGCATTATGAAGTTGTATTAATTGACGATTTTAATTCTAAATTCCTATGAACATTCATTCTTAAAAGAGATATTTGGTATATATTTTTTTAAATATTTAATTTTAATGTGTTGGTTGGTAATGCAGGATTATATTTTAAGGAAATGAATTCCCTCATTTGTTAAGGGAAAAGTATTTACAAAATTAGAAATGTTCATGTTCAGAAACAAAGAAAAAAAAAAGAATTTTTTTTGTTGTTTTGTTTATTTTGTTTCATAAATAAAATAAACGTTTGTAAGTAAATAATAATGATGAAAATATATAAAACAGCAAAAATAATAATTAAAGGTGGAGAATTGAAATTTCGCAGCAATAGTATAAAAAATGCATTCCGTGATTGCATTACTTATTAGAAATTTTATTTTTATAAGAGATAATAGATTACTCTAGAGACGTAAGCGAATTTAAAATTTAATTCTGAGATTTATTCGAATTATTTAATGATAAAAAAGAAAAGACAAACATTGAAGTTAAACATTATCGTAATTATTAGATTAGTTTAACGTTTTCTAAAGTTCAATATTTATTCAAAAAAAGTAAATAAAAAAATAAACATGTAAAAGGGAATGAAATTTTTTCAAAATAAAAATAATATCTCAGTTTTTGCTTCTATTTATTTTAAATTAGTTGATTGATATTCAAATTTTAATTAAATTTCCCCCCTGCAGAATAAATTTCATGTAATTTTCCTTTAAACTTCAGTATACCTTTAAAAGTCACGAAACAACTCAAACATTAAAATGACTAACTTAAATAATGAATATAACTCTATATTTTGAAGAAAGTTTTGATAACAGGCTTAGTTGAAAGTGACGAAAAATCAACAAAAGACACTTGCATGCTCCAAGTGTCCGATCCGCTTTGTTAAGTTCGGGTAAACGAACGACCGCAGACTTATCTTGAGGACTTGAGCAAGACCTGTGGCGTATATTTTGTCGAAGAATAAATTCCTCGCTTCATCTGCATAATAAGATAATAGTTGTTCCCGGATCTCTGCCAAAGTTCACCAATCCTTTCATTAAATAAAAAATGCATCAACTTCGGTTCCTTTTTTTAGCTTATAAACTTCCCGTCATTTAATATGCGTTTCGCCATTTGTATTGAGAATCGTAATTGATGGCTACTCGGAAGTAAGAGCATGACATGGAACAGAAATTCTTCTTGACTATTCATATCATAAGCGAAAGAAATAATTTTCCTTAAGAATAGTTATGAATAAGAGAGTGTTTATATTTCTTAATAAAGAATTCGAAAAATAAAAATTTATTTTTTGAAAACTTTTTAGTTTAAATCAAGACGATTACTGCAACAATAAATTGTTTTTTTCTATATAAACAAAATTTAATAATAAATTAGACGAATGAGAAAATCTTGGATCTGAATTTTTCTCGGCTTATAAATTTGCCTTAATTGAATTGAGCCATTTGAATGCAGAATCTTAATTCATGTCTATTTGAAAGCACGATTATGACAAAGAAGAGCAATTTTTCTTGACTATTCATTCACAAGTAAAAAAAAAATACCGAAGAGCAACTAAGCTTTTATTTTTAAGTGTATGTGTTTAATAAACTATTTAAAAAATTCTAAGCCTTTTAACTTTTTATATTTAATCAGGAGCAAAGTTTAGGTTCCTATTTTTTGTTTACAGTATTCAGGTTATTTCGAATATGCATTTCAATATGTGTATTAAGAATCATATCTGATGGGTTTGCAGAAGTACGAACACTGAAGAAAAATATTTTTTGTATATTTATAATGTATGCGAAAAAAGAAACAGATTCCTTAGGTACCTTTAAGTAAAAAGTACGTACTTTTACTTGTACTTCGTTACTTTTTAATGGAAAAGTACAAGTATTTGTAACGGAAATGTCGTATGAAATCGTTACTTTTTTCTAAAACTCGGTAAGCGTTCTAAAAAAAATCCAATCGTAAAAAAATTATATGGGAAATATAATACTGCAGTACCTTCTAGTGCTCCCGTGGAGAGCTTATTCAGCGTGGCTAAGCACGTTCTGAGAAATTCTCGCAGCAGACTCAGTAACACCACTTTCGAAATGCAATTATTTTGCAAAATGAATAAAAATATTAATTAGCAAGTTATTTTCATTCATTTTCGAGTTTTATGCATTTATTTAATACATTTTAAATAAAAAATGTTGGATTTTGTTATTACGTTTTTCAATTTTCATTTTGAACACTAATAATACATTTTTGTCTTAATACGTTTTTTACTAAATACATTTTTACCTAGTACATTTTTTACTAAAATTATGTTTATGCCTCACCTTGTCAAACAACGCCCAGTCAAATCTCTAGGAACTTCAGAACTATTTGCGCTATTGAAAACTATTATAATTACTATTTTAACTCTTGAAAACTCAAAGGTATTAATTTAGCCGCTGATACTAAAATTCGTTTACAAATTTTAATTATTC